TATGAGTGAATTTCCAATTGAATACTGCATTTTAATGACATAAACTTACAGTATTAGTGACAATTTTAGGAAAAAATGGTGGCCATTTTGAAACTGCTGGCAACCCCCCTTACGTATGAAAAAAAAAAATTTGCACATACTTTTTTGATTTATCAATGTCTACTCTACATCATATCCAATTTTTAAAAAATATAGCAAAAAAAATGCAACCTCTGATATTGCTACATTTCGGACTGGACTATTGGCTGCTTGTGAAGGCCAGCACAATAATAATCATTTCGAATATCATCATTTTTCGAGGTCGAATATTACATTATCCAGTATTAGGCCTGTCCGAAGGCTTAGTATTTTTATTACACGGTACGCCCAGGCAGTTTCAACACCGGATAGGCTACACTGGAAGGTCTAGCGTCGTTAATTCATACACACACGTCCTCCATTCTACCAGCAAAATATGTATTGAAACGAAAGTAATTGTGCACCATCTGTGCCGTCAGTCATTAACGTAATTAAGACTGATATCAGCTATGCCATTATAAATCATGACTGTTTTATTATTATTATTATTATTATTATTATTATTATTATTATTATTATTATTATTATTATTATTATTATTATTGTATAAGGGTACTATAAAAAATATCAATAATGATAATTATTGTTATCATTATTAGGCCTATTATTATCATCACTATCATTACTATGTCTATCATCATCAATTAAAGTTGAATCGTGCACACAAGATATCCTGTAATTGGCGGACACGTGGATTTGTTATCTTACGGTTTTAACGCTACTAGTTGATGCTACGTGCAATCCACACTCTCTTTTATGAGCTATTATTGTTAATACAATCTCTTTGGAGGTTAGTTTACCTTAAAATAATTTGTACCGGTTGGTTAAATCAGAATGATATCCATTGGTTAACTTGACACGTATCGCCTATGCGCACGTGTTGGAGATTCGCCAGCTTGCTGCGTTGGGACTTAACGTAGTCGACAGTCGTTTCGATAGCTCTTATAAACAGTTGATGATTGCCGACAAAATGTTCATGGTTCGCGACAACTCATGCCAAAGTGAATGAATAACCTTATGTTTTGATACTAAGTGCTGCGTGAAATTGCGAGCGCAACAATCGTACTCAGCCCCATGTCATTGCCTTTGGAAATGCCCAGTAAACCGTAAGAACAGTTTTGCTGACAAATGTTGAATGCCAGTCTAAACAGTCGCTTAACAAAGGCAACAGATTAAACAAACTTGTATTAGCTCCTTAACGACTGAAGAAAGATCGAGTGTTGGTTTATATTAATAAATTATTTAAATTACACCTGGATATAAAATTAGGCGCATAGGCCTAATGTGGTTACGTGTTGAAAAACACGTTAAGAAGCAAGTTACGATTCCAATTGTTAGACAAAACTGAAGTCAAAATGGATGTCTGATAATAGTAAATAAAACAATGAAACAGTAAAAGAACACTTTAAAATATAGTAGTAGGCCTACTTTAAAATGGTTTTATTCGGCAATTCGACCACACAATGCTCTTCTTTCACCTGAAGAAGAGCACTCTGTGAATGCAAGCTAATGGTATTTAAAACTACACTTTAAAGTAACTTCTTTATAATGCATTCTCAACTTAAAATTGTTTTTTAGCCATGGAGTGTACATTAATAGTCGCCAATGGTCTTATCAAGAATGGTATCCCATGGACATCCCGAAATCTATGTTAAATACATTGATGGGTAATCTATGTGTGAGTGATTCATCGCCCATCGATAGACAATCAGACGTACAATGCACACAAGTAGATTGCCTACTCTATTGTATGGGAATGATTAATCGGATAAGTGCATGGCCTATTTCCTAAAAATACGGGCATACCTAAGACACATTTGAGTTATGGTCGGTGCAACTTATGAATAAATAAGATTATAAAGTAGCAGAATTTATGCGGCTAAGGCCTCCAATATTTTTTTTTAAGTAATGGCCTACAATCACATGATGGTTTAGCCAGCCTTCTATAAATACATGGTCCTAAATTAATATTAAAACACATTAGACCTATAGTATTTAGTTGCATATACAAATATTACAAATAATCAATGTTCG